ATATGATCTTACAGTACTGCATTCAGTGGCATAGTTGAGTGTATAGCAACAACGTGCAACATCAATCTGCAGACTCCAGAAAAATAGATCATCCTACCATTTCTAAAATACACTCCACATTCCTTGGCTTTGTACTTTCCTTGTATCCAGGTGAACCTGCCTGTTCTTTTTCCACACAATCCTTGAGTCATTTCCTGTTCTAATTTAATTCTGAAGATGAAGCTAAGCTGCTGAACTCATGTTAGACCTAATTTCAATGAACTATATGCCATCAGTGCAATTTTACCCACTATCCCATGTTCTTACAATGATCTTTTGCTATTAATAGTATCTCCGTTCATATGTACATAATAAGTTAGATTGGCCAACTGACACTATTAGCATCTGATGTTAGCTTTGCCTTGTCATTTCACTCAGTCATAATGTTTCTCAAAGAAACATGGGAACTTAATTAATGGGAAGATATGAAGAATTCTGAAAATGAGAAGGCTGTTAAAATGGCAGTGAAGAATTTCCAGAGAGAAGGCATATTGAAAACCAGCATTTGACCCAGTGGTGTGCATGCTTGGTATGAATACAAGGGGCGGCGGCGGCGGGGGGTGGGGGGGACGACTTTCCTCACTGAAAAATATTTGCTTGGGAATATAACATCCCCAAGAAGAGGCCTTTATTTCAATTTTCAGGTTTACAAAATGTCAAGCTTTTCAAGCTGCAGGCCATTAATTTAAAGAGTCTATGCAATATTTTACTGAATACTTTTATTTTGGGGGAACTTGTATATGTAAATTAATTTTATTGATGTATTCTCGTCCTTATGGATTTCTCATAGGCATCTGAGTGATTATTATGAAGCCTCATCCTTTCACTTTTAGAGATTTTTTAAAAATTTATTTAAAAAATTATTTATTTCTGTCCCATCTTTATTATTTTTACAAACAACTCAAGGTGGTAAATATATGTAACATATCTTCCTTGTCCTATTTTCCCCACAACAACAATCCTGTGAGGTAGGTTGGGTTGAAAGAGAATGACTAGCTCCAAGTACCCAGCTGGCTTTCCTGGCTAAGGCAGGACTCAAACTCACAGTCTCCTGCTTTCTAGCTGGGTGTCTTAATCACTAGACTGAACTCGCTCTATTTTATCATTATTATGGTTGGTCGCACATACCACCAGATATATTAGAGTGGATTTGGCATTATTTGATATTTAGCCTGCCTTTTATTTTTATTTAGATTTTTAAAATCCTTTATTATCTTTATAAATGTTAAGATGGTGAATATACCAAAAGCTCCTTTCTTCTATCGCCCTGCCCCCCAAAACCACCCTGTGAGGTGAATTGGGCTGAGAAAGCATGAGTGGTCCAAAGTCACCAGCTGGTTTTTCATGAAACTCACAGTCACCTAGGCCAGCACCTTAACCACTAGACCAACATGGCTCTCATTATTAGTTTTATTGCTGAAATTGTATGATTTGGTCATTCACTAGTCAGGTCACAGATTTCCAAATATTTGAATAAACAAGATACTTCTTACATGTGACTTGCAATGTAAAATTGCTTAAGGAATTAAAAAAAAATAGGAATATACAATTTAAAGGGAAGCTGCAAAGCCTGCAAAGAAAGCTGTGATATCAGTTCAGATTATTGTATAATACTGTATTTTCTTTAGATCTATCTAAGTGTCAGCATTCCGGCAGTTACCCCAATTAAATCATAAGTCTCGAGCCAAACTTCCAAATTTATATATTTCTATGGTCTTTTTAGAGTTGCCATCTCAATGCTCCTATCTATAAGTGTGAGAATTTAGAAAACTTCAACAGGATTCAAGGAGAAAAAATGAATGGATTAACATCTTCTGTAGTGTGTGAGAGCTTTTATTTTTAACATAATTGTGTTTGACATTGTTGTATACTTTTTTTTTTTTTGCTGAATGCTTCACAGAGTCACCCCCTGCACCTGTAAATAAGAACAATGGGTCCTCTTTGACCTAACAAGGCAGATGGATCAGAGGTGGGATGCAATTTTTTTTACTACTGGTTCTGTGGGCATGGTTTGGTGGGCATGGTATGGCTTGGTGGGCGTGGCAGGGGAAGGATACTGCAAAATCCCCATTCTCTCCCCATCCCACTAATCTGCTTTCCAGCTTCGTTCTCCTGTGCAGGGAAACAAAAGAAGACTAGCTGATCAGCTGGGACTTGGGAGGCAGAGAATAGATGGGGGTGGGGCCAGTCAGAGGTGGTATTTGCCGGTTCTTTGAATTACTCAAAATTTCCGCTACCGGTTCTCCAGAACTGGTCAGAATCTGCTGAATATCACCTCTGAGATGGATAGTTTGTTAGCACAGCTGTACATTCTGCATCTCCCACATTTTGCACACTCCTCCCATTGGATATTCTGCCTATGCTGCTGGAAATCTGATCTGGGAAGTCCACATCACTTTAGATATCTTCCTTAGTTATTGTTATATAGCTTCAGTTTCTACCTGGTATTACAAAATTTGCATATCATTTTGGGTGACCATTATATCCCTGCCAGTCTCTGCTGAATCTTGTTTGTTTTTGCACCTGTGGACAAATGTTTTGAAATTAGATTTCCATATGTATAATAGAAATAAAATAGAACAGAACAGAACAGAATATTCTTGATTGGCCAAGTGTGATTGAACACACAAGGAATTTGGTGCATAAGGTCTCAGTGTATATTCAAGGTAATATAATGTTTATCATATTATTAGAAATAATTATTATAAAAGTAATGTTTAATTACTTGGATGCTACCGACTGAATTCACTGGCCCATAGTTAACTAAATTGATTCAATAGTTTAGATTCATATAGCACTCTGAATTAGCAACCAGTGACCTACCTGGTCAGTGTATTCACAAAACTTGGTACAATGTAGTTAGCTATTTTGTGCTTCTGAATATCGGAAGCATCCTTGGTGCAGAGGGAGTCCAGATAGCACTTGCAACAGCATGATTGAAACTCCATCCCTTTCTGACCTGCTTTGCAGACACAATGGATGCAAAAAAAGGGGTAAAACTTCAATCAGATGTCATGCCTGTCAATTTAACTTTTTGGGTCCCTGAAGATGGCCCTATGCCTATATATTGCTGTTTACCAGGGGTGGGATTCTACCAGTTCGCACCTATTCGCTAGAACCGATTGTTAACATTCTAAGCAGTTTGGAGAACCGGTTGTTAGAAGAAATTACTGGCCTAATCCTGTAAGGAAGGCAGGAAGGAAACATTCTGGTATTGCTTACAGAAACTGCCTCTCCGTTAACCCTTATTACATTCTTGGCAGGACTAGACTTCCTGTCTCAGGAACTTCTCTGGAGTATTTTTTCCCCTCCTTTGCTGGTACTTTGCTTGTTTGGAGTGACCATTCAAAGTTACAATGGCACTGACAAAAAATGACTTATGACCGTTTTTCACACTTACGACTGTTGCAGCATCCCCACAGTCATGAGAGGCCAGGCGAGGAGATGCGTGCCTCGATGTGAGTGATATTGAGTTGGCCACGCCCAGCCAATAACATGACCACCAAGCCATGCCGACCAACTAAGCCACGCCTACAGAACCGGTTGTTAAAAAATTTGAATCCCACCCCTGCTGTTTACCCTTTCTTGTACCTTTTGTAGACAGCCAAAAGGCTTGGCTACTACCAAAAAAACAACAACCCTATAAATATACCAAACTAAAATAGAAGTTTAAATGACATAAACCGTATAAAATCAATATACATAACAATTTATGGACTTTATTCTTTAATAATCGCTGTGCTGTTATTTTTCACAATAGCTTTGGGGTTCTGGAGTTCAAAGCAAGACACAAAACAACAGCCAATCTTCCCACCCTGGTATGTATACCTGCTTATAACTAAAGAGTAGCTAGTGTCAGGCTCAAGCAATTAGAGCTACTGGTAGATAGCTAAAGTAAGCAATTGTATTGTTCTTTACCTAAGTTATAAGAAGCTGCACAGATGGTTTGCCTTCTCCTGGAAATGACCAGATAAGGCTTTATGGATCTTGGGAGAGGTTAAGCTTATGCCTCTTGTAGCTCATGGACTCTAGCTAGGCCTTCATTTGATCTCTCATTCCAGCCTAGGTTGCAGTTTCCCAACAGCTAGGAAGCCCAACAAATTTATTCATTAGATGATCAAAGGGCCCAATGAATCTACTGTATATGGGCATAGAGAACCTTGCTTGTTAACCTTGTATAATAGTGATATATGCAACTTTAGCAACATTTGTAAGGCTTTGGGTAATACCACATGTGGTAAATGCATGAAAATCCACCCTTATTTGGCTTTGTACTATTTGAACATCAGCAGGAAACCACGGTCTGGGACCACAGGTTATCCAACCCGCTCTAGTTTTAAAGCTATTGAAAGTTACATCTTGATCAGGTGTCTCATCTCTCTTTTTGTCTACTCTCAAAAATCTTGTAATTAAACCTGGTTGCATCATTTCACAGCTCTGCAATTTAAAATGCCATAAAATGCCCAATACGAAAGGAGTTTTAGCACCAATCCTGCTCCCTTTGGGAAGCAGGGTGTATTTGTAAAGCAAGGGTCTTCAAACTTGGCAAGTTTAAGACTTGTGGACTTCAACTCCCAGAATTCCTGAACTAACACGACGGGAGGAAGAATTGTAGGAGTTGAAGTTAACACGTCTTAAAGCTGTTAAGTTTGAAGACCCCTGTTGTAAAGCCTAGAATTAGATAAAAGGTGAGCAGAGGTGTGGTGGTTGTGGTAAATTTAGCACAGTGATTGTTGCTGTCTTGTGATTCCATGCCTTCTGCTATGAAGGAAAGGGGATTGGTTAGAGTCCTTTCATCATTCCAGACTTGCCTTGCCAAATTCCCAGTAGGAGGATGTTTCCAAAAAGGTTGCATCTGCTCTATTGAAACAGTGAAATGTGGCACTCCCATGCAAGGGATAGAAAGATACCACACCCTAAAATTCTGGGAAATCCAGCCCTGTATCCCAACAGGAATGATATAAGGTGTCTCCTTGCGAGTACCTGGAGCAATTGGTTCCATATATGAGCCTGACTGGAGATTCATAAAGCAGCAAGGTTTTGCAGTGAGCCAAGCCAGAAGGATGAAGATCAGCTTCAGCTTGGGCAGGATGCCTTTCAGTGGAAGCCTTGTCTTCGTCTTGGCCACGACTCTACTTTTCACAGGTAAGTAAAGGATGAGTGAAGTTAGAGCAGAAACAGAACATCAAAAAAGAAAAAAAAATGGAAGTATTGCAAAACCTGGAAAAGTCCTGTTTTGACTATGGTAGCCGGAAATCAGGAGGACTCTGGTAACACCTTTTCAGACAAATGAATTTTATTAAAAGACTTAATAAACTTTTGTGAGTTGTCTTCATCAGATGTGTGAATGGTTTTAGATCCTTCATCAGTTTGACCTCTCTGTGCATTTGATGGAGTCAGATACAGTTCCCAAAAACTTCTGTCTTGCTCAGACTAAGAAGGTCCTTCAGATTTTTAGGACAGCAGCATAATTTGTTGGGAGAATTAGAGCTACATTTATAGCAAACCCAGAAGATATCCTATAACTTGTGAAACCTAAGAAGAGATCCATTGAGAAAAAGAATAAAACTTCGCTTTCTGACAGTGGCCACTTCAGCATTTTATTTTATTTTTTCTTATTTTAAGTATCACATTACTTAAGGTTTTAGTACTGCATTGAATTGCACCAGACTATTATTTAGGAAATGTGGAACAGCTGTGTTTAAATTGATTTGTGTCTAACTTTCATTTGACAGCTGGCAAAATGCTTTCAAGGGCTAGAACATTTATATAAATGTTAGGGAAATGTTCTAGAATATAAGGACTTTGTAGGGTAGGTAGGCTGAGAGATGCTCATTGCACAGTTTCATAGCTGAAAAAATGATTCAAACAATTTAAATAGGAGAGATATGAGCACATGTTATAGTATAGGTTGATAAATTGCTCAGCCTGGAGTTAAAATGAAGCTTTATTTGAACCAAGTCTTTGTAATGGTATTTCAGTAACTCTTCCTAGTCCACTGATAGCCTTTCCAAGGTGCATTTGTGAATGTTGCACGATGATCAATGTCTAGTTTGGACATGGTAGATTAAAATCTCTACTCCAACATTCAGTTTTCTGGATGATCTTGGACAAATCAGGTTCTCTTTGGGAAATCAGGCATGTTAAATGCAGCCTGAAGATTTTTTCCTTGTGCTCTTCTTTGTGAAGTAACATGTGTGGTCCAGAAAGAAAGAAAAAGCAAATAGGTTGTGTTAATAATGGCAAGAAAGTAAACTCCCTTTATTCCACTTTGCCAAAAGCTAGGACCATTATTATTTTAAAAGCTGGCATTAGTGATGCGATGGACCAACTTTAATTAGTCATAACAGTTAGGACAAATGGCAAGATATTGTGTGAACTCTAAAACATCTAGAAAGCAACAAATTGTCAATCCCTGTTATAAACTCTTTTTTGTACACAGAGCTATTTTATAGAAATTATTGATGGCATTATTCACCCAGAGTAGATCTGGAGTTTTGAAAAGACAGGAATCTAACAGCAGATTCCAGATGGGGCCTTCTGGAGTCGGCTGAACATCTACAAAGTACCTATCTTGAAAACAGAATGTCAGGAGAGGCAGAGATGTGCCTTTTCTTCTACCCCCTTTCTTGTTAACAAGATGGTCATTATTTATTATTTGATAAATTTCTCATCTTTTTAAAAAAATTCCATGTATGTCCACAGAGTCCCATTCAACTATTGACCACACCCAGACTGTTCTGCTTCTGTAAAACTGATACATCATGTAATTTGGGGCAAGAAACTTGGATTATATTTTTTAATCTTAGTTAATTGCTCTTGTGTTGGATTGCCAAATTTTGTTCCAAGCCTAATCAGGACTGGCTAATGTCCTCTGTTTACATCTGCAGAAACGAGGAGTATTTATAATCTGGTTAGGCTGGATTGTCAAGATTTTATACACTAAGATGGTAGTGTGAACATGTCTTCATTTTTAAAAAATTCCGTCTCAGTGTCAAAACCAGGGATAGCCATATACTAATTACCAGTAACTGATGCTGACCATGCAATCAGCAACTTCACAAAAATATTTATATTTTAATTTGTTTCTTCCCTTAAAATACAGTAATTAGTAGCACTCTAAGCAACTATCTAATTGGACAATTTCTTTTAGCTGAGATAGGTTTATACTCAGAGAGCCTCCCAAAGCTTTTTTTTTTTTTTTTTTTTGGAGAACATATTGTGGTCTTCCCTTTTGGAAAAGCAGCTGCTGTGGTGATGTGGCCAGCCAGCCCACATTCCTCCATTTATCAGGAGCCAAAATGGTGAGGTAGCTTCCACCCTATCATTCCCTTTAGCCCTCTGGAATGCTGTCTGCATCTTGGCTCACATTTAATCTTCTGGTAGGCAGACACACCACCAAAATTCTTATTTGGATTCACTGCCAGCAACCATTCCCATTGTGTAAGAACACCTTGGGTGTTCTGTATGGACATTTACATTCTTGAAATCCGGCAACCCGGATTGGACGAGCGCGCAGACACCGGATTGGTCGAGCGCGCGGCACTGATTGGCCGTTCGGAATCGACCGCGATTGGCCGAGCCGATCGCGGGCAATTCAAACGGCTGTCATTGGCCGCGGTGCCCGGCACCAGATCCATATAAGCCGGGGTTTCACCCAGCCTCACTCACTTGTTTTAAGCCTTAATAAATGAGCTGAACTCAAGTCACTGCCTCGCATCTTTTGTTCGTATCGGCCGATACGACATTGGGCATCCTTCTAAATAGAGGCTGAGGCTTTGAAGGATGCCAATCCTTTTTTTATTATTTTAATTTTTTAAAAAACAAGAACTGTAGTCACTCTAAGCCTACTTTGGACTTGTATTCCTTGTTCTTTTAAAGATTTATACCCCACTTTCCCCAGAAGTTCTAAATGGAGTGCATATTGAACCCTTATTTTTTTCCCCCACCACAGCTTTGTGAGTCAGGCTGGGCTTCCCCACTCCACCACTCTGCTCCAGGGCTGAGAGAAAGGGACTGATCCCCCATAACACTCATGGAATTTTTCTGTAGCTGTTAAGAGGTCTAGATGTAGTGTCTCTCCATTACTTACCTGAAGCACTAGCCTGCAGTCTTAGCTGGCATCAGATACAGCTGTTTTTCCTGCACCCAAGTCTTGACTTTATTTGTCCTCAAGGTTCCAATCCTACCTGAATCACAGAACCTTATTGGGCAGTTTGGGGCTACTCTCTTTCTCTCAGCCATGCTTACTTTGCAGGGTTGGTGTTGCAGGGGAAAATTAGGTCTTGGGCCATGTTTTAGATAAATTGCAGGTAACATTTAAAAAAAAAAAACACTTTTAAAGTATGCTTTCTGCAGTTGCCTAATTTGAACAATGTAATCTGTCTTTCTAAATATCCCATGCTACTCTGAATATAAATGCCTAATGTATTATACCTCTGAATTTTTTTAAAACACATTTTCTGCCTGGGTTCAACTTTATCTGATGTGCTTTAGATTTAGGAGTCTATAAGATTTGGCAAGCGTGGAAATGGGAATGAGCAAAGGACAACTCATTGAATATTGAATAATTGTAAAAGAAAACAATCCTAAACATAACTTAGAAAAAGCTTTTATTTTCCTTCCTTCTTGGTTTGTTTTAGAGTGTTCACTCTAAGAGTTTGTTTTAGAGTGTTCACTAAAGCTAACTGTAGCTGTAAATTCAACTTTTGGCAATTTTGATATGAAGCCACAGTTTAAACAAACAAACAAACAAACAAATAAATGCTAGAAGGCAGAACCAAAACATCATGGTCTATTGAATATTAGATCTTCAGATTCAAAATGGCTTAGAAGCAGATGTTTTAAAAATACCCTTCCATCTAGATCAGTGTTTCTTAACCTTGGCAACTTTAAGGCACATAGACTTGAACTCCCAGAAATCTGAGAGTTATCAAGGTTGAGAAACACCGACCTAGCTGCTTTGGATTCTACGTGGTCAGGTGGGCACGTTATACACACAAATACAATCCTCCGGGTATACTTTGATTGATGGACTCTCGCTCCACGAGGCCCCAATTTCCGTCGGCAGTGCCAAAAGAAATTCCTGGGTGCTGAGTTTCCCCAGTGAAGATATGGGCTAAAAGGGCCAAACAAGTTAATTGGTTTCAAGGTGGGGCCCAATAGTTTTATAAGTGATACTTACTAGAAAAAATATTTACAGAGAAATGTTACTTGACATTTTAGAACCCGGGAGACACAATAGAATCCTTTTGAAGCCTGACTAAGCAAGATTTTAAGCATTTTTATGTCCCTCAAGGGTCACAGTTGTGAGTCAAAGCACGAAGTTGTGCATAAATAAAACATTGCTCATTATGCCCTTGAAGACTAAGTTAGCTACTTTTGCTTCAGTTTTACACTACACCCCACCGCTCAGTACTTTTGCTTTCAGAATTAACCTCAATAATTGCCATAGTAAACAGCACAAGGCTTTCTTTTTCGATCCGTACCATCTGTGGAAATACCTAAATATGATTTAAAATGAAATATGAAATAAACTAAGCCCTGTTGATGTATCTTAGAGATTAATGGCAAAGGTAGAACACCCGCCCCCCCAACTTATTATCTGTTGAGGTTCAGCCAAATTGTTTGCAAGACATATTTCTCATTGTGATAATTTCAAGTAATCGTAAACTGGGAGGGCGTGGTGTTGGAATTTTCCAAGGCCCATTTAAATAATTTATGGTTAAGAAAACATTATACTGCTTTTTCTGCTTTGTTCTTCTCTAACCACTTTTTCCAAGCCAAAGGCTTTTGAGATGGGTTTACTACACATCAGTGGTGGGATTCAATTTTTTTTTTACTATTGGTTCTGTGTGGGTGGCTTGGTGGGGGTGGCAAGGGAAGAATACTGTAAAATCTCCAGTCAGCGGTGGTATTTGCTGGTTCTCCAAACTACTCAAAATTTCCACTACTGGTTTTCCCGAACTGGTCAGAACCTGCTGAATACCACCTCTGCTACATATCTTATCATCCCCACTCATGCATGAATGTAGATAGATATTAATTTTCTCGGTTCTGTTCTTATTTTATGCCATTATTTGTCACGACAGCAAGACTTTATCTAATTTTGGAAAAAGTTGTTAGATAACACATTTGTAATCAGGCACGCCAAAGAAAGAATAGATAGTCCTCATTTAGCAACTGCCTCCTTTAGCAGCCATTTGCTGTTACCACCAATCTGTGCATTTATGACCTTCATAGCTATGTGAAGCAATGGAAAGCTGAAGTTAGATCATAAGTTGTGGTTTCACTTGATGACAGCTTTGCTTAATGAGCGAGTTGCTGATTGTGGCTGCTAAACAGGGAGGACCTGTAATACGTTGCCCTGTCTACATAGACAGTCCACATATTATTTGTTTGTACATATCCTGCTAATTCCGCCCCGTGATTTCCGTTCCACGTTGGTTTGTGTCCTACTTTATAATTTTAAGCAGACACGCAAAATAAAACCTGCCCTAATTTTTCTGCCGAGGCTTCTGTGCGTTTTACAACATCGTGGTAGGCAGAAATCGAATGGATAAAACTCTGAGTTTGCCATGGAATGCTCGGCCTGTTGTGTCACTCAACACTCTCACTTCTTTAATTACTTGCTTCAGTGAAATCTCCCTTTTCGTGGGGAGAAATGCTCCAAGCAGTTTTTAATATACACACAACGAGCAGATTTTGAGAGGGAATAACTTGCCTAGCCAGGTGGACATAGAAAAAGCTGCTGTTCTTCCTTCCAGAAAATATGGTGGCAATAACACTATGACTAGCAATATCATTTAGTGGACAAAGAATCTTCTTTCCTATAATGTAGTTTTCTAACCTCGGCGATTTGAAGATGCGTGGGCTTCAACTCCCAGAATTCTCTGGCCAGCATGGGTAAGAATTATTTCAAAGGATTGACAAAGCTTGCATTAAACTAAGGCTTAGAACTGGCCACGTTCCATCCTTGCCCGTCGGGGACTTCCTTTTAAGAGTTGTGAAGATCTTGAGGCTTTCTCTCCCCAGTTTGCATTTCCTATTTGTTAAATGAGAACAGCAACAGTCTATTTGATAGAAAAAGACATTAGGTTAGTCCAGTGTTTCTCACCCTCAGCAACTTTTAGAGGTGTGGAATTCTGGGAGTTGAAGTCCATACATCTTAAAGTTGCTGAGTTTGAGAAATGCTGGCTGGAGACACAAAGTAGGATTGTCTTCTTTGCTGCCCTAAGCAACCAGTTAGAGTAGCTGACAGGTGTGTGAGCTGCTGCCTAGAGCATCAACAAGAACTGCACATAAGAGGTAGTAAGAGAGAAACATACCTGCTTAACTGGAGAAGCAATGTACCTTGAAACAAGTCTCCCGGGACTTAGCTTTTATTTACTTGAAAATCAGCAGAATTAATCCTGCTTCATATCATGTAGAGACTTGCGGGGGGGGGGGGGAGTCCTATTTTGGGGCCTGAATATAGGTAGTCAACTGGCTGCTTGGCGACAATTTATGATTTGCAGCTGGTCATTTGCATCCTTTTAGAAGGCCCTTGAAACACTTGGAAGTTTATCTGTGTGTTCAGGGTCACCTGAGTGGTGCTCCTGGTTCCTATAGTCTGCAATTTTTCCTCTGGAAATCCATTCCTACTCCCACACCATTCAAAGGTTGTCCATGGGACACCTGGGATACTTAAATGTTTTGAAATTTGGACCATTCCCCCTCCCCTCTGTGGTCACATGACTGCATTTCAGGTGGCTCATCAACCACCTGTCAGTGTTTCAGCAAACCTCCATTCCAATCAGTAACTCCCAGACAAGCAGAATCTCAAAAGTACCTTTATTAGAATAGCACTTGGCACATCTGTGGAATCCCGAATCTAAAAGTTTCCTGGACTTACCACTTCCCCAAACTACAAATCCATCCCCCTTTCTCCCATCTTCACATCACATGGACCAATCACAATCTGTCTCAGTGTAAAATCCTTTTTCTCTGCTGCGTCACACTTAATAACCTTGAAGTAACAAAATAATTTTAATTTATCTACTTAGAACTACTCAATTGAAATCACCCCCTCCCACTTTTTCAGGCTATGTGGCAGCGTGGAATATGGCTTCCAAAGCTGACACCACCCTGCATTTATGACTGTTTGCAACATCCCATGGTCAAGTGACCAGATTTTACTACATTTTTACCGAAAACCGTCTTTTACTTCCAGCTTTTTGCAAAACCAGACCATAACAAACAATTGGGTTACTTAATGACTGCAGCACTCACATGACTGACCCAATTCTATGCCAACAAGATCATAGAATTGGACTGGTTACATGGGTGACCTGCTTTACAATCATCATAACTTACAACCATAATATGTAGGCTCCATTAAAGTCTTAAGTTGAGGACTACTTGCATGGATGTGAAAGTATTCTGAAACCAGTTTAATGAATTGAATTTGAGGATTCTTCCCTGCTGAACCAAATGAGCAAAAGAAACATAGCATCATATGAAGTGTTGGCTGCTTTCATGTTTCTATATATCATACTCTGTAGAAAAGTTTGTGGAAAGAAAATGAAAGCTGTGTAGACAAATACTAATAGTTACACAAAAGAAAAGGGATTACATTTTCATTTAAGAGTTTGCATTATGAGCATTGATATGTCAAACAATGAAATTAGTGTGTATTGCATTTTTTTTAAAGTTGCTAGACAATTTATGTTAACAGTTACTCAAATTACGAAAAGATCAATACGAAGCTTCCATTTCACAGAAGATTACACAAATGAAGATATTTTCTGTTCAGCTGCTGTTGGATCAGAGTACTTTTCTACAAACATGAACAAGGTTTTTAAATGACTCACAATAGGCAAGTGCTACTTAATTGTTGCTTGCTTGGTTTATGGATCTATCGCTTTATCATATTTCTCCTTTGTGATTCCTCCTAGGTGTGATATCCATGAGCATTCAAGGGCCCGTTGAGAAAACGGTTGCTGTAGCCCCAACTGTGGCCAATGGATCAGGAGCAGAGCTTCCTGAAAAGGAAGGCGCTTTTGAGAAAGACAACCTCAAACCCAATGAGTTGGAAGTCGATTCCAACAAGGTGGACTTGACTGAACTTGATGATTCCTGGGATAACATTGGAGCTATTATACCCGACCTAGAAGATCTGGACTCCCCACAGGTTAACGGAACAGGGGGAGACTATAAGGAGCAAGGAGCTACTTTATGGGGATCTCTAAACACCTCAGAGCCCAGCATTCCTGAAGAAGAAAACCTGAGGATGATTGAAGACGAGGAAGATCCTATGACTCTATTAAATCTCTTTTTTCAAAGAGCTATTGAAGAAGATTATGGGGCTGGTGAATCAGAGACCATTGATGAGGATGACTTTTCTTTTTCTGACTTGCCCAGGATTTTTGAGCCTTTAATAAAGGCTTTCTCTGGTTCTCCAAAATCTGAGCCTCCTTCACCGGAAGATTTTCTCTCTTGGTTTCCTTCTCTAAAGGAGCTTCTGGATCCCACAAGGGAGGAACCTGCTTCAGTCACCAGTTCACCAAAGAACAGCATCACGCAGCCAGCAAGAAGGCCCGATCTCCCTACTCCCTTAGAGCCGTCTCTTCAGATGGCCCCTGCCATCCCTTCTGCTCAGCCAGATGAAGCGGAGAGCCTCGCCTTCCCCTCTTCACTGGAGGAATCATTCACTACTATTGTCCCAACTCTCCCTATCCCACCTCAGCCGAGCGAGCATTCTCTTTCGGATGTCTCCGATTCTGAAGAGAGCTTTGATTGATCAGAAATATATGCTGGATCAGGAATATGTAGCCTTACTTTTTCTTGCTTTTCCTGGAAATTGAGAAAATAAAGACACCAGTTAAGGAACATTTTGAGGTGGGGAAGAAACATCTTCCCTGATCTTTAGTTTTTTGGTTTTTAATCTGAATAAAGCACAATATATGCTTTGATAATGTTTTTTGGAGGGGGAGGGGGAAAAGGAAAGGGAATATGATCTTGTATACGCAGCAAATCCTTTTGAATTTTCTTTCTATTAAAGTTGGAAATGCCCCTTTGATGAGTGCTGTTATGGCAATAAAGTAACTCTATATTTCAGACACTGGAAATTATAACTTCTTTCCGTGGAGTGCCAACTACAAATCATTTTCTTTACTTTTCTTTCCTGACATGTTGGGGAGGCAAATTATGGATTTGCAGAATCTGCTCTGTGTTTCAACCGAGTTTCAAGATGACAGAGAGAAAGAGAGAGAGAGAAACTTGCCCCTTCTTGTGTTTACATAGCAAGTCTAGTTTAATTCCTCTCCCAACTGGGACAGTTGCTTTCCAGTAGTAATCTGAGTAGATTACAGAGGACCATACTTCAGGTTTATGAGATTTATTTCTTTTCCAGTATTTCCTGAACCTTCCAGTTGAACTCTGTTATTTATATAGGGAAAAACTGTCTTAAAAATACCCATCTATGTCAGAATTTCTGCTAATATTCACCTCATGCCATTGTTATAAGAGCTAAGAGCTGTGGTGGTTCAGTGGTTAGAATGCAGAATTGCAGGCTAATTCTGCTGACTGACTGCAGTTTGATTCTCACTGGCTCAAGGTTGACTTAGCTTTCCATCCTTCCCAGGTTGCTAAAATGAGGACCTAGATTGTTGGGGCCAGTATACTAACTCTGTAAACCGCTTAGAGATGGCTGTAAAAGCACTATGAAGTGATGTATAAGTCTAAGTGCTATTGCTAAGAAGCCTATAGTATGGGAGTTAGGGATTGATTTCCACTAGTAGATCTATTTTTTTCTCACCAATGGCAATGGGGAATATTCTAGTCAGTGCCAAAGTGATTTGCAGCTATTGGGTGGGGAACAGCTTGGGTACATTGATGTTTGTATGCTAATATCCCTTTGGTGCCCAGTTCTCTACTCCACTGCAATAAGCTCTACTCTGTGCATCTTAACTTTAGCCTGCCTTTCACAGCCTTAATTTATTATGATGCAGTAAAGTGTTGGCAGTTTAATGGCTACTTGGCCTCCAAAACATTCTATCATCTTATTGTTAATTTATCTCCTGCTCTTCCCTTGCTAAAGAAACTGTGGGTTATTTTATGCTTAATGTTTACATTAAGGTTCTGCCTGACCTCTCTGGCTCCTTCCTCCTCAACTTCAGCCCTTATTCTTCCTTCTCTGCCTATTTTCTTCTTCCTTATTGAGTGTTAACTCAATTATAGGTAGTTTTTTTTAAAAAAACAAACAAACAACTGGCTGAATGTCCTACTAGTAATTTTCACAGCAGCAAAGCTATTGCTCCAAGGTTGCTTTTATCTTCTCCATTTGTTTAACCAACTGGGCAGAAGACAGGTGGAGTCCTGTCAGTTTTCAACATCCAACAATTGAAACAAAGCTTTCCAAAACAGGCTGTGAAAGCTAGAAATGAGATAATTGGATAAACAGTTGTTTCAGAAAATAAACAGATTGAATAAACAGGAAAAGCTTTTCAGGGGCAGAATAAAGGCCAGGATGTGAAATGTGCCATCTTAGAAAAAACAAAAAAAATTCATCTGGGTGCTTGGCAATTACAAAGGCAGGTCATGTTTGAAAATGAAGGAAAATGTGTTCTTATGGAAAGGTGTGGGGAAGGGAAGGGATCCAACAGCCCAGCCAGTTAGTGGCGAGAGATGGCCTGGCTTGAAAAGTGAGGCAAAAAGAAAATATACGGCTTGATCTCAACTCTAAAGTAAGGCAGAGAGTCACTTAGAGGCTCATATTATATACATCCAAACATTAACCATTAGAGTAGATCTTCCAAACCTCTTTTGGTGGCTGGGGAATTGCGGGAGTTGAAGCCCACACATTTTAAAGTTGTCAAGGTTGAGAAACACTGTGTTAAGGTATAATTTCAGGCAGCATTTTTTACTGCCCACAGAAGAAATTTCAGGAAGAAGAAATTCACTACAGGCGGATAGGTCAATGCAGGTCTCCACATCCACGGTTGGGTCGAAGAAAGAAAAGATGTGGAGGCAGCAGGATTTAAAAAGAGAGAGTGAATAAATACGGTAAAAGAAACTGGTAAGAGCATTCAAAGGGTTGTAAAAAAAGTTGTAAGTGTGCATGTTTAGTAGGATACAAAGGTGTATAAGAAGCCACCAAATTCTTCGTTTGATACATATCCCTACTGAGAATGTTGTCTGTCTAACTGCAATAAACAATTCTTAGAAACTGATCACAACTCCAAGTTCATTCCTCAGAGAAATCAAACCACATCGTATTACTGAAGATGAAAAAAATTACCTGAAACAACATACTTATCATTGCCTTTTAGATCTTAAGATTTAGACATTTTGGGTCTACAGGGCACCACTTTCATTGACCCATTTGTAGCATAACACCCCATTTTCCTTCCAGGGGGTCAAAGAAATACTGAGAGAGCCAGTTTGGTCTAGTGGCTATGGCACCTGGCTAGAAAGCAGGGAGCATGAATTCAAGTCCTACCTTAGCCATGAAAGCCAGCTGGGTGACTTTGGGCCAATCCCTCACTCTCTCAACCCAATCTGCCTCATAGGGTGGTTGTTATGGGGAAAATAGAAGGAGGACAGTGTGTTCATCACTTGAGTTATTTGTAAAAATAATAAAGGCGGGAAATAAATAAATAGACAGACAGATAGATAGAACATTCCCACATTTTCTTATTGTGTATATATTATATTCTGGTTGTATTCACACAATGTATAAAACAGGGAAAGAGAAGGAGCATGTTGTCCAAGCTTCATAATTTACTATTGGTGTTATGTCGTGGGAAAGATCGACTCGAGACCAGTGTGACTTCAGCTCTTTATTAATCTCTTGCAAAAACTGAACAACCGCGGAGCCGTGGCAGCCTCTTTTATAGTGGCTGCTCGCGGCTTGCGGCCAATGACGGCTCCTTGAATCTCCCGCCGTCAGACGGACCAATCCAAATGCAGTATTACAAGTATTCAAATATATAAGATGGACCAATCAAAAGGCAGTATTGACGGACCAATCAAAAGGCAGTATTTCAAGTATGCAAATACATAACAATTGGGGTTAGGGGCTGGTAACAACTCCAGGCTATTTGGGACTATACTAAGTAACTTACCGGGTCCAGTTTGGTGTGCTGGTTAAGACACCAAGCTAAAAACCAGGAGAATAGCGAATTCTAATCCTGCTTGCTGTACAAAGCCGACTGGGTGACATTGGTGGTGAGTCCTTCTCTCTCAGTTTTAAGAAGGAGGAGGCAAAGGCAAACACTTCAAAAAATCTTGCTGAGAACATTTCAGGGACCAGTCCAGATAATCACCAGGGGTCAACATTGGTTTGAAGTTTTCCCTTTGTCAACTCTCATGTATAACCGGATACTGCCTTCAGAATAATACAGTTGGAAAGGGGCCTTGGAGGCCTTCTAGTCCAACCCTCTACTCAAGCAAGAGACTCTATACCATTTCAGACAAGACACACCTTGGAGTAGAGACAAACTCTTAAGTCTCCCCTGTTAGAGAATTGAACTTACGCGCCCCACTGTTTTCTTTCCCAGTACAAATGGAGAGAGAAATTAAATTTCCCTGCATACACCCAAACTATTGTGGGTGTTATTTATTGTTTCACAGTGTCTACGTGGAATCCCGATAGCGCTACCAGCAGTACAGATTTTGTTTTTAATTTCTCTCTCTCTCCAAGAGTTAGTAAAGTAATAAAGTTTCTTCGTAGCATCTGGGAAGCAGGTTAAGGTTGTTGTCATTGTTATTATCATTAGTACTATTACTATATTTTTATCCATCCTAAGTTTGACTGGCACACCGTGTGTGATGACCCAGAGCGTGGCACAAAGGCATCACAGTCAGATAGACAATAAGAGTCTCTTTATTATCTCCAACTTTGCCCCCAATGTCCAGGTTACCTTCTGGCTGGAGAAAAACTCCCAGGAACAGCCTTTGATTTCAGAAAATTCAGTCCAAAACAAGGTATATACAAACTGTAACTTAAAGTCCAAACAAGAGAAACTGAAGTAATTAATTTGGCAGGGCAGGGGCAAGAATTTCAGACTTGAAAGCATGGCAAAACTCACACAGTTGGGAAGATGCCAGGAACACAGATAAGACATGAAGTTACAAGATAAGGTCATGTTTGCTCCCAACAGCTTGCTGCACACAGCTTGCCTTTTTTATACACTGTGTTCCCAGCTACAGCTAATGAAGGGAATCAGGGCCCTTTCCTCCCCCATAAGCCACGCAACTCACATTGCTCTCTTCTCTTTTCCTCCCTGCATGCCCTAGGATGAAGAGGGGGTGGGCCTGGGTCTTCTTCTGAATTCCCTCTCCCTTGTTCTACCTCTTTCCTGCTCTGCCCAGCTGGACTTTGCCTTTCCCCAGTTTTTTCCACAGCCAACAGAGCCACATTCCCACTCCCTGTCAGCTGTTCAGCTTCCTCCTTGGAGTCAGATTCCGACAGGGGCATAACACTGTGATTGTGCACTTTGGAAGCCAGAATGAAATATTTTCTCTGCTGTTGTGGCTGATTTAAGTCTGGTTTGTTTGTTTTTTAACACAGCCCTCAAGACTTTTTTTCTAGAGTTCATCCATGAATGAGTTAGATGAGCTGCCTCCGATATATAAATAAATAAATATAAAATAAATGGTGGAATTACAGTAGCTTCTCCAGGAGATGGCAATAGATGCACCTGTTGAGTAGCTAGGAGAACATTTATGTCTGCCACTGATTTATTCATCCTTCCGGCAGGAGAATCACAATGGTTTCTTGTGCATAATTGTTACACAATATAAGTCAATATATGTTGGTTTTCAGCAGGAAACAAACAAACAAAAAACAAAGCAGAAATAAAATAGAAAGGAGCCCTATCTCTTCTAAACAGGAAATAAAAAGGGTCCCCGCAAACCCATTCTGTATTTCAGGAGTACTTGCAGAAGTCATGTGTGTGTGTGTGTGTGTGTGTGTGTGTGTGTAGAATCAAAAGACTACACACTACGTGTCCAAAGTCTCTTTCTCTCTCTTTCTCTCCCTCCCTCCCTCCCTCCCTCTCTCTCTCTCTCTCCCTCTCCAATTTCTATAGCTACCCATCTCAGCTTATAATTCTAAAAAAATATGTTTTTATATTGATAGACAAAATTCATTTAAAAAGATGATTTAATTGCAATCGTTCTAGCCGCCATCATGACTTTTTTCATCTTCCTACAGCCCCTTCGGCAGAAGATTCTCCTCTCTGATGGAAGCATCAGTGATATAAACCATTTTTCCAACTAAGTGCCTTAACTCCTGACTCAATCTGGCTCTTGAGACTAACTACAGTCCTACAAACCATTCCTAGCCACTCTCTCAATATCTAAAGCATCATTAAGGCAATAGGAGATTCTCCCACACCTTGAATCACATCCTGTCCCTTCCCACCAGTCAACTTTCCCAGATATTCCTGAATCATCCAATTCAGGTGCAACAGGTACGGGTGGGGGGGTGGGGGCTTGTTGCCAGGTCCTTCAGCTTTTTTGGAACTGGAACCAGCTAGTTCACTAAGTTAGGCACAGGAAGACTTCTACTTATTTCAGAAGAATTATGTTATGAATGAGGCAAAGGCATTCTGATGATTCTTAGGAGGATTCAGACCTGGAGAATGTAGAAAAGAATGTAGAAGGTGACCTGGCACATTTTTTCGAGCAGCGTAGTCTTTCAGTGCCACCAAAAGCCAACGCTCAAGATGGTTGGTTTGCCAGTCAGTGAAGGGAGATCACAGAGGTTTCCTTCCCTAGATGTTGACTCAATGGCTCAAGCAAGAATTTTATGTAAAGGCTAGACATTGCTGTTGGGGGCAGGGACAATGTTGACTGCCTCTCGAAGTCAGTAGCTCCTGTTTGAAACTGATGGCTTTGGTATTCTTAGAGCTGCTGCTTCTATGATGAACTCTCATTAAGAAACCAGAGAATGCTTAATTAGATGTCTCCACACAGTGGAAGTGGCTGCCCAGATGACTGTGTTAAAGACAAGGTGCGGATGAAATAGATGTCAACTGTTAGGTATAACATAGGTCACCTAACTAGTTTGGGTAAAATAATATATATAAGCTATGATAGTTAGTTTAAGTGTGTGTCACTTTAAATGCAAAGCATGTAATTTTGGGTGTGGTGTGAAACCACCATAAGAGGCAGCAAGAGGACCTGATTGATTGCTGACGATTCCCCTGATTGATTTGCTGGCAATTACTGACAATTTACTGGATTGGATTACGTTGATGTTTGTTAGCTGCGTGTTTTTCCCTACTGAAGAGTTGCAGAAGGAAGAGAGGAGTTTTTTCTTCATATCTCTCTACTGCGAGGAGATAAATCACCGGACTGATAATTTGTAAGTGTACTGACCTCTCTTTTTCGACACTGGAATTTGCAATTGAATAATCCCTGGACGGACTGAACTAAGTGAATGATATATGGACTGTTTTGACTATGCTTTAACTCTTGCTGGAATAAAACTATTTAATAGGCACTGTATCTGGTTTACTGTGTGTAAGCTACAAAACACTTATCTCACATATTTTGCCTGCCTGCCTGCCTGCCCTGCAGATCTTGCTAGGGGTGTATCCCTAACATCAACATACACAGAAAGCATATCAAGGAAGGGCGTGCAAGGCTGAATCATAGCAAAATTGGGAGAACTCTCCTGTAAATAGCCAGGAATCAAGATTCACAAAGTACAGGCATAGCAAGCATTGCTAAGATGAGATTTTTCACTGAAAATGCACTTGGAGGACTCTTCTTCAGAGGTCCAGCTAGCCATGTTGTGTTTCGTCCCCTCCCCAATTTCCTTGGTTGAGTTAATTTATCATTTGATACACCATTAACAAGATTTAATGGTGTATCCTCCTGACTTTAAAAAGATGGTGAAAACTCCATGTCAAAGCAATAGCAATTAGGCTTATATACTGCTTTACAGTGATTTATAGCCCTCTATAAGTGGTTTCCAGAGTCAGCATACTACTCCCCAAAATCTGAGTCCTCATTTTACTGATCCTGGAAGGATGGAAGGCTGAATTAACCTTAAGCCTGGTGAGAATCAAACTGCTGGCAGTCGGCAGAATTAGCCAGCAGTACTGCACTCTAACCACTGCGCTCTTCTCATGCCATCCTTTTCAGTGGAGAATTTGGGGCACAGTCTTCATTACGTTAAGAGTCCTTTCTTACTGGTGGAGTTCCCATATGACTCTCGTGTAAATGTCTGTGTCTGGGTGTATCCTATAACTTATGGGATCTCCATTGTGAGATGGTGATATAAATGATTCTTAATATTGGTGTCTGATATATGAATTGTACATGAAATTTATTTATTTATTTGAGAATTTATATTGCTGCCTATTCACACTCAAGGCGGCTTACAGAATATAAACCCTCATATAAAAAGAATAAAATTAATAAAAGAAGAATCACATAATAAATTAATACACTAAAATCACCCCCGCCCCAGTGACAGCACCTCACACGAGCTATTTAATGGGTCCATCCCACTCTGGCTTCCCCAGGTCCGCTGGCAGAATCAGTTCTTCAGTGCCTTCTGGAAGAGTGCTAGTCTCTGTGGGAATGATGTTCCAAAGAGAGGGAGCCACCACGGAGAAGGCCCTTCTTCTGGATCCCACCAGGTGACTCTCCCTCAGGGATGCGACCTGCAACATCTCCTGCTCTGATGGGTAGGGTAGATGCTTGGCAACAGGTTCATATTCATTACCGGCACACATAATCTCCTTTTGCAACCTTTTGACAAGCAGAATCAATGAGGGAGCCACATTCACTTAACAAGTGTATTGTTAATTTAACAACTACAGTAATTCACTTAACAACTATGGCAAGAAATGTCATAAAATGGGGCAAAACTCAGTGAACGACTGTCTCACTTAGCAACAGAAATTTTGGGCTCAATTGAGGTCATAAGTCGAGGATTACCTGTACTGATGAAATGTGGGGTGGTAGCAGAGGTGGTATTCAGCAGGTTCTGAGCTGTTCTGGAGAACTGGGAGTGGAAATTTTGAGTAGTTCAGAGAACTGGCAGATACCCCGCCCCCATCTATTCACTGCCTCCCAAGTCCCAGCTAATTGGCTGAGTCTTCTTTTGTTGCCGTGCACAGGAGAACAGAGCTGGAAAGCAGGTTAGTGGGGTGAGGAGAGAATGGGATTTTGCAGTAACCTTCCCCCAGGAGTGGGGAGGGAATGGAGATTTTGCAGTACCCTTCCCCTGCCATGCCCGCCAAGCCACATCTTGCCCACCAAGCCATGTTACACCCACCAAGCCACGCCCACAGAACCAGTAGTAAAAAGTTTTGAATCCTACCACTGATTGGTAGATATATTATTTTTAAAAACTTGGACTAGGACTAAGAGGGAGGGACTGGGCCAAAGTCATTCAGCCAGCTCCTATGCAAAGAGAAGATTGGAATCTGGGTTTCCTCATTCCTAGTCCAACATCTTAATTACTCCACCTTATTTTCCCATCTCCGTCTCTATCTCCATCTCTTTCTGCGTGTAATACAGCTATTCCAAAATGAATACAGTTCTTAAATATCTATCCATCCCTAGATAGTCAAGCAACAATCTTGCATGTCAGAGTGAAACTGATGTTTATTTTTAACCCATAAAAATCCCCAAGGAGTGGCTATCTAAGTTATTCAGGGATGATTCACTTACTTCCTCCACAGAAAGTGTGTTGGGCGACTTCTGCTAAAGGAAGCTGATGTCAAATGAAATGAGATGGGGTGAAATGGAAAACAGAAATGACCCATTATGGAGCATCAATGTTTCATTCTCCTTTATCAGAAATTGCCATGGTATCATGATGCTTCCCGAGTCCTACAATACAGGAATTGTCCAGAATATTGCTCTAATATTTTAGAGACTTAACAAATAACAGATAATCAAAGTTGGAATTTCTGACAAATGGCACTCCAATTTCTTCTTGAAAGTCTGAAGTGATGTCGCTCCCACAACATCCGAGGGCAAAGCTGTTCCATTGGTTGATTGTTCTCACTGTCAGAAAGTTTCTCCTTATTTCCAGGTTAAATCTCTCCTTGTTCAGTTTCCTTCCATTATTCCTTGTCTGGCCTACAGGTGCTTTACAAAATAGCTTGACCCCTTCTTCCCTGTGGCAGCTCCTCAAATATTGGAAGACCGCTATTATGTCTCCCCTGGTCCTTCTCTTCCCTAGACTAGCCAAGCCCAGTTCCTGCAACCGTTCTTCATATGTTTTAGTCTCCAGTCCCCTAATCATCCTGGTTGCTCTTCTCTGTACTTTTTCTAGAGTCTCAACATCTTTTTTTTATAATGTGGTGACCAAAACTGGATGCAGTACTCTAGGTGTGGTCTTACTAAGGCTTTATAGAGTGGTATTAGTACCCCACTTGATCTTGATTGTATCCCTCTGTTAATACAATTTAGGATTGCATTAGCTTTTTTGGCTGCTGCTCCACACTGCTGGCTCCTATTTAGCTGGTTATCCACTAAGACTCCAAGATCCCAAGATTTTAGAAGAAGAATATTCTTGCTTTCTGATAAATGAAATTATATTTGATCTTGGGATGAGTCACATATTTATATTAGAGTAAATCATGTTTCCTGTAATTCCTGTTGTGGACAATAGATCTTCATCACTCATATAACAAAGAAATATTACATAAGGCTTGATCTACAAAATATTTAACTCTCATTCTGGAATATTAGCTTTTCTGAGAGGCTCTGAAGAAGAAGATTCATTCCAAATATCTAATAATTTGCGAGAAAACCAGATAATCAGATTTGCTTTAATTTCACTGAAGCAAATCTAGTAGACAGAGAATGTCAAACCTTCAGATTAACTGCCATGCCTAAAATAAGGGTTATATTTATATGTTTTATGTTTTTTAGGATTCTTTTTATGTTTTTAACTGGGATTGTGTTTATATTGCTCTGGCTTTTGAGTTTACCTCCAGAAGCTGACTCGTGCTCAAAATGTCAGAAACAAATGAAAGAGAACAGTTGTTGATTATGGGTTGCTGTTGTTTCATTTTTTATCCTGTACAATACAGGAAAATCGCATGTCAAATGTTTGCTCAGCTTCACTTTTGTTTTATTAAAAATAGGGAGGACAGATTTCAGCTTTCTGTTTGTGTTTGACTAGAATTTAAGAAGCACCAAGAGAGCTCAGAATAGCTGAAGCCCTAAAACGGTCATAAATCACATTTTTCAGTGCCGTTGTAAGTTTGAACAGTCACTAAATAAACTATGGTAAGTCCTGTTTATGATTGGTAGCTGAAACTGATCAGAAGTCTTTTGACACTAAAACCCACTTCTGGTTCCCTGGAAATATTCTCCTTCAAAAAGGAGAGACTAGGAGAGACTTTTGGTCTAATGGTTAAGGCATGAGGCTAGAAACTAGGAGACTGTGAGTTCTAGTCCTGAATTAGACACCAAGCCAGTTGGCCAAGTCATGCTCAGCCCAACTCACCTCACAGGGTTTTTGTGTGTGGGGAAAATAGGAGAAGAAAGGAGTATTAAGTATATTCACCACCTTGAGTTATTTACTGTATAAAAATAATAAAGCGGCATATAAATAAATATTTTAAAAGTTTCTAATAATTATGCCACAGACAGTTAGAAATGCTTGTGCATCTATTGTCAATTATCCAAATTACTCCTTAGAAGTTATTCCTCGCCCCACTGGCACTTTGTCATAACATCGATCGTGATGTCATCCTTCCTCATTATGGATATTATTGGAGTTTGGTGGAGGACAGTTTGTAGGTGCGATGACCCAGGGCATGGCACAAAGGCAACACAGCCAGAATAATAAGTAGGGGTCTCTTTATTAGCTCCAACTTTGCCCTCAGTGTTCCAGTTATTTTCTGGTCTGGAGAAAAACTCTTCCAGGAACCTGCAACAGCCTTTGACTACAGATATTCCAATCCAAAACATTATAAACAGAAAACTTTAAACTATGAATTCATTGTAGTGTCCCAAGCTTTTTTTTTTTAAACGTAAGACAAAAAGTAATGCAACCCAAAACTTCCTAGTATATTGCAGCAGCATATTACTGTCTCCTTTTAGCTTTAATGGTAAAGACTCTTTCAAGATAATCTCTGCTGATGACTACAGGGACACAACCAGTCAGTTTTCTTTGGCAAACATTCAGATATACCTTGTTATGATTGCCTTCTTTCAGCCTTAATGGCTCATAACTATTCAAAAAGTGCCAAGCTCATTACCTCTTCAAACATGCCATCTGAGTGTGTGACGTTCAATTATGTCTGTTCATGGTGAGAATTTTCCAAGTTAATTGGGGTGTTTTATAAAGAAGGATTTAGTTTTGTCAGGTGTGAAGCAATTGACTGATGAAAGTGCCATTATGGTATAGTGGTTAAACCAGTACAGGGACACCCATACTTAAGTGTCCCCTTCAGCCATGGATATTCATGTGGGCGACTTTCTCCTACATTGCCTTACAGAGTTACCATTGTGGGATAAAATGAAAGGATACCCTTATCCAAGCTACTTTTTGCTCTTAGGCAAATGCAGAATATACATCTAAATGACAACAACGTCAACTAATTAGTTTTACTGATGGACTCTGTGAAATTCGACTAGATTTCTTTTTAAAGAACAAATTGTTGGACACAGAAGCTCTATATGTGAATGTAAACATTCATGAGAGTGGGAATCTGACCTGAGCAATGATTAGTGAAGCAAACTTATAACAGAAAGGAGATTGATTGAGTTTAGAGCCAGTTTGGTCTAGCAGTAAAGCCGGGGACCGTGAGTTCAAGTCCTGCCTTAGTCATGAAAGCCAGCGGGGTAATTTTGGGCCATTTACTCTCTCACAGCCCAATTCACCTCACATAATTGTTTTTGTGGGGAAAGCAGGAGGTGTGTTGGATATGTTCGCCATCTTGAATTATTTGTAAAAATAATAAAGGCAAGATATAAATAAGCATATAAATATAAAATGTAAGGAAGTATGTTTTTGGGGAAAGGCAAAGCCTAGCATCTAGCTAAGGACTTTCTACCAGGAAGAGAGTTGGAGACCGTGTGTTCTGGGTATGAGTATCTGGGAAGGTAGTTGGAAGAGGATTAGCAATCTCTCAAAGAATAGGCAGATGGCAGACATAGAGGGAGAACAGAATATAGGTCTATCCAGTGGTGGGATTCAATATTTTTTTTTACTACCAGTTCTGTGGGTGTGGTTTGGTGGGCGTGGCATGGCTTGGTGGGTGTGGCTTGGTGGGTGTGGAAGGGGAAGGATACTGCAAAATCCCCATTCCCTTCCCACCCCACTAACCTGCTTTGCAGCTCTGTTCTCCTGTGCAGGGCAACAAAAGAAGACCCAGCCAATCAGGTGGGACTCAGTGGGAGGCGAAGAATAGATGGGGGGAAGGGCCAGTCAGAGGTGATATTTGCCGGTTCTCTGAACTACTCAAAATTTCCACTAGTAGTTCTGCAGAACTGGTCAGACGTGCTGAATGCCACCTCTGAGTCTATCTATATCCCACTTTCCATTTAGGTCAACAGTCAAGAGATGGTGAAGAGTTATGCCTGTCAGCCTTATTAAGTAGACCAGACAAGACACAGAACCGGATAGATTAATCTGATAGGGTTATCGTGGGGAAGATAGGAGATAGGAGTATTAGGTATGTTTGCCATCTTGAGTTATATATAAAAAAGTGACATAAAATAAAAAAAAAATCTTAACCTAGTTATGAATATTTAACATCCTTTTTGGCCAGAGTCAGATATGAACTGAGACGAATAAGAACTTTTTGCATAAACAGGGCCATACAAAACCATTTAAAGACATTTAATAAGAAACAAGTCCTACTGGGTAGGGTGCTTAACGTGTTGCTAAAGACCCATGGCGAGCAATTCATTTTCCCAAGGGGCTACATGAGAAATTGAGGTTGTTGTGGAGGGTCGAACCAATAGGACTGTGAAGATGCATAGTCATGCACCCATGCACATATGTAAATTTGAAAAAAAAACCACTCGCCTTCAAAATACAACTAACACAGTTGTATTGTATACTTATTTACATTTGATTTCTGATTGACCCTATGTAGGCTGGACAGAGATAGCCAAATGTAAAAAATGACAACCAACTGTAATGAGACAGCCAAATGACAGCCTGCTGTAAAATGCCCAGGTTTCCTATGGACACTTGTAGAGTAGCCTGTGTATCTCCAGGAGGATCAGTTTAACAGATAACAGATAATCAGAGTTGGAAGGGACCCTTTAGGTCATCTAGTCCAACCCCCTGCCCAAGCAGGAGACCCTACACCATTTCTGACAAATGGCAGTCCAATCTCTTCTTGAAAGTCTCAAGTGATGGCGCTCCCACAACTTCCAAGGGCAACTTCTATTCCATTGGTTGATTGTTCTCACTGTCAGAAAGTTTCTCCTTATTTCCAGGTTAAATCTCTCCTTGTTCAGTTTCCCTCCATTATTCCTTGTCTGGCCTACAGGTGCTTTACAAAATAGCTTGACCCCTTCCTCCCTGTGGCAGCCCCTCAAATATTTGAAGACTGCTATCATGTCTCTCCTGGTCGTTCTCTTCACTAGACTAGCCAGGCCCAGTTCCTGTAAGCATTCTTCATATGTTTTAGTCCCCTAATCATCCTCTGCACTTTTTCTAGAGTCTCAACATCTTTCTTATAGTGTGGTGACCAAAACTGGATGCAGTACTCTAGGTGTGGTCTTATTAAGGTTTATAGAGTGGTATTAGTGCTTTCCTTGATCTTGATTGTATTCCTCTTTTAATCCAACTACGTTTGCTTAGTCAGTGTCTGAAGAAGACAGTGAAGTGAAT